CCATAAGTGTTATTTCTCTCATTTTAGTCTATCCAAATGCATGATGTCATGCAACCCAAATGGACCATGCTAATCGAGTCAAGTACAACCCATAAATAGTTATGAACTTAGACACCTAATCCAACAGTATCTTGGGAAACTCAATAAACTTTAGTTTATAGTTGTTGATGAACTGTTTTGCAGATACTTCTTCAGATCGTGGGAAGGACAATGATTGACTGTACACGTGCATCGACATTACATTTGAGATTTCCGCATGATCTGTTTTATACTCTGATTTGAATAGTTGGGTTTTGATTATCAAACAATGATTTTCCTTATGAATGAATAAATGTTTGAATGACATATTATCTTTTAAAAGTGAAAATTTTGGTTTGAATTTCGAGACGTTACAGTAGGATAATTGGTGTTTTTCTGAAAATTTTCAAAAGATAAACTTTAACATGGATTGATATTTTGATTATGAGTTCAAATACTTTGACAATGAAATCCAAACATTAATTATGAAGTGTCATTTCATACAATTATATCACGACTAATACCACACCTACCGCCATAATCAAACCTCTATATATAGAACATAAACCATAACAATTTTATATCATTTTATCACACCCCATTTATAGACTTCATTTCGCATAATGGTAAGATAATTTCATATGTAGCTATGGAAATGATGTTTAATTATATTTTTAGTGAACCATGTCATTGACTTAAAGCGTATATTTTTCTTTCTGTCTTTAAGATCAAGTGCTTCTTCATGAGTGGCAATATAAAATAACATGAACCGACTTGATGTTAGGCATAGGCTCTTGTTGATGTTTCAACCGTTGCGTAAAATTTCCCGTCGATTGAGTTGTTCTATATTGTGACGGGGCTCGGGTTTGAGGCGGGGGTTGGGCTTCATCAGCACCGTCATTTTTGTTATCGGACTGGGGTTGGGTTTCATCGCTATATTCTTCGTTTACAGGCTTTCGAAAATGCGAAGTGTCGGGAATATACACTTCATTTGGCGATAAACTAAAACCTTGGTTGTAGTCTTGAGAGCCTTGAAATTGGTTATAGGTTTGTTGGGATTGAAATGATTAGGAAGGATATTGTTAGGGTTGATAGTGGTGGGATCGAATTTGGATAATTTGGCAATGACATTTGGGTTTCAGGAATCATATTTGGCATTTGGGTATCGGTTTCAAGTCGATGATTCTTCTTTGAGTAGCACCATTTTTTTGGATTTGCCACGACTGAAATCTATTGGAATTGATTTTGAAAGTATAGAATTCAAATGGAAGAGAGTAGATAGGAAAGAAGAAGGGTGGTGTAAAATTTTGAGTTGTGGTAGCGTGTTTATATATATGTATTTTATTTTTGAACTTTATCCATTAGTCAACGATTTCAACAACTTGGTCAACCCACCCATGCTGATAAAAGATGTGATAAAAGATGTGTGTGACCCACAATTGTATCTGGTTGGTGATAATACTAAAGACGATGTTCATAATACACACCCACAACCTGAAAGGAATAATAATATCGAAGAGTCGATCAATATTGAACCGAAAAAGAATGATGTGCCAAATTTAAGAGAGGTAACATTAGATTCTTTGATTCGTGATCCCGATGAATGACTTTTAATTTTAAGCTATCCAAAGTCACTAATTGAGATTAGACGACTATATATTTAACTTGCATCATACCAACTTCAAAAATCAAAGTATACCTCCATTCTAGTGATCTTAACGGTCTATTGCACAATTTTCAACAAGCTTAGTTTACGAACTTTTGATTGCCAGAAACCTCCCTTATCCTAAAATCCTATCTCCGCCCGTTGGTAATCAATGATATCTAGTTTATAACTTTTTTTTTTATGTTAATCCGATGGTTATATCAATTGACTATCAATGACATCTAGTTTATAACCTTTTTATGCTTATTTACTTATTTTCTTAGAATATTGGTAAGAGTTATTAATTTTTGAATAAATTCTTTAATAATTTAGGGTACCTGATTAATCACCGCTGATTAATTATCACTTAACCTCAATCGACTGACTAGCTAACGATCGAACGTTTTTTACAACTTTGCAAAACATACTATTGGGAGTGTTGAAGAGATGTTTAAGCTAATCTATCTTCACATATCCTTATCTTTCCGAACTCAAATTGGCTTTTCATATCATCTTGAGTTTGAGAGGGGATGTTAGTGTTTAGCTATAATTAGGTATCCTTTTGCATTCATCTTATCTTTTATGTTGTTTTGTTTCCCTTACACGTTAAGTCAATATGAGAATACTTTATATAGTTTCTAATAAATGACCACTCGATTCACATAACAACACCAAGATTTCATCCGATTTATGTCTTTAAACCTGAAACAACCGTCATGCTTCGATCAAACAACCACTGCCACCTCTCTCCAAATTTCTCATTGGCTTTCTTAAGTATTTTGTTCACCGGTTAGAAACAAGTTAACTCGAACTGATCATATGTATCTCACATTTACATTAAAGATTGATGGTAAAATATTACTTCAACACATGCTATGAGTTTCACCCGACTGAATTGTCATGAAGTCATTTTATTTCTTTGTGGACGCCTAGTGGCTGATTTAAATGGTGTCAGAAATAGGGGATGAATAGATTGTTTGGATTCTCTGAAAGTCGTGATTCACTATCAAATTGAAGTATTTCGATGGTATGGATCGAACACTCAATTGGATGAAATTCAGAGATATGAAATTAGAGAATGTTTGTGAAAATGTTCTTCCAGATATACCAGAAAAATGACCAAAAAACGGATTTATGATCTCTGTCTGAAAACTGTCATATAACAGTTTCAAACTGTCATAAAAACCATAAAAACTAACATAAAAACGTGTATTTATATAAGGGTCAAATCAATGGTCAATTATCTGAAAAAACTATTTTCTAATGCATTTTCAATTATCTGAAAAAACGGATTTATGATCTCTGCCCCTTGGACCCCGCCAGGGGCTGCCGTCCCTTGGACCCCGCTCTCAGGGGCGCTGCCCCAGACCCTCGTTCGTTTAGGGGCTTCGCCCCTAAATAACAGTGTATTTTGAATCTTGAAAAACTTGAACAAGTGTACACTCCTACACCATTCCTAACTTGTTCAATATTCATCAAGATCACTTTTGGTCAACAAATTTAATCGTATTACACTTAAATAATATTGATGATATTAAATCACCAACAAATGGAAACATGAGGCAGTTGATGAGGAACACTTGGGAATCTGCAATGAACTTGAAGAAGCAATTTCAAGCTATAAATCCTTGCAGTCAAGCATCAAGTAAGAACGGAATACTGATATGCCCAATAAGGCAATAAACGATATATGATTCTTTCATAAATGTTCTTGAGTTCATTTAAATTACTCAAAACAACACTTTCATGACTCAAACCAAAGTCTTATTCTAACATATAGGAATATAGAACCTTTATATTATATATAATCTCAAAAAGGCAATCCGTAGGTGTCAAGAACCTTCTTCCAAGAAGGCCTGCTGCTAATATCATCCCACCAAGCACTCACATGCTTCCTTTCCTTTATCAAATGCTCTTTCCCAACAGGGCCAACCAAGTAGTTCGTAAATGGAAGATGACTAAGGTCTGCAAGACTAAAGAAATCTCCAGCCAAATACTTGCTTTTTGAAAGCCGATCTTCATATACATCCAACACTTTCCCAAGCTTTTCCTCACTTTCTTTGATCACTTTCTTGTCTCCTGTTAACCCATAGAACGAGCTGAACATAATCTGTCGCACAAGATTGAGAACCGGTGGTTCAAAGTTGTGTGCTTCGACTTCTAGCCATTGTTGCACCAGACCTTGATCTTCCATCGTCTTTCCCAACAAGTCTGTTCCTTGCGACTTGTACTTTTCCGCATAGTAGCGGATAATGGCTCGTGATTCTGCGTAATAGAAACAAAAACCAAACTTAAACACTTCTCCACAAAAAACTTGCTGTTTTAGGGGTTTTTTCTTTGTTCTTACCGAAGAGAGTGTAGTCTCCATCTTGAATTACTGGAAGAGATCCAAACGGCTGTAGTTCATCGTCAAAAGTTCAGCAAAAAGCAGTCAAAAGCAAACCAGAAATTAATGAATTAGTACCTGTAACTTCAAGAACTCCGGCCTCCGATTTTCGCCGGTAAGTAGATCGACGGGAATTGTCTCGAACTCGACTTCTTTTTCAAGAAGACAAACCAGGACTCTTTTCGGCGAAGCGTAAACGGGTCCATACACCTTCACCACCATCTTTCAGTTATTATTATTTTTTCGAAGAGAGAGTGTGTTTTATTTGTTTATGTATGAAATTTATTTTGGATATTATAGAAGTAATGTGCGAATCTTATAGGAGGCCGTGTTTAAGCTATTCAAATAGGAATAGGACATCCATTTATGTTTTGATATATATATTTTTATCATGATTTTTTTATAATTAAAATAGAAGATGTGTAAAAGTAAAAACAATTTATTTTGTAATGGATGAATAAAAAATTTAAAAGGAGATATCTCAATCCTTTTGAAACAATTACATATAAAAAATAGAGTGATTAAAATCGTTTAAATCGGAAAATTATTAGTATCACGATGAAATATTTTTTGAGTTCAAATAAACAAATACATACATGTTTGAGCAGATATTATGTTAAGATTTTACAAGTTTGGTAAAACCATTTATTTAATTAAGAATTAATGTATAAATCTTATTGCAACTTTGGAAGACGTACAAGTAATTGAATTGTAAAATATTCTACACACCCAAACTAGCTATTGGTCTAATCCGTTCAGGGTGTTGATAAGTCCACATGTTAAAGAAAGAGTCAAATTTGGAATGCTGTTGTTTATTCAGGGGGTGGCTGAAGTGTGAAGTGACCAAGGGTTACAACGCTTGAATAATTGAATTGTCAAAAGGAGATTGAAAATTCAAAGCTGATAAAATTTGAACATAGTTACATGTAAAATCCTTTCACCAAACACTAAAGGGGGTTGTGTTAGGTGTGCAAAATGGGTTAAAATGTAAAAATTGTTTGATTAAAGATAATTATATAAGAATATATATAGAGAATATTCAAATTATAATGACTAAATTTTAAAAGGTTTTGGTCTAAACCCTAATCATTAACATACCATACAGTTTGATCGAAAGAGACGATTACACTGGAAAAATAAAAACATAGATGAAGATAAAAAAATTAGAAGAAGGAAGCCGACATAGATCAATAACTTAAATCATGGATAGCACCGACGGCGACCGGATCTCCAGGTGGTGGCGGTGGCAAAGTATAATGATGTGTATTTTTACTAACTTTGGACATATATAAATATATACATATATTGTATATATAACTAACTCTTTAAGTGGGGTTGTGTTCTACTCCGTGAAAGCTTTAAAAGAATATACCGTATGTCCAAAATTGAGTATATGTGAATGAGATATCTATACTCAAAGTTAGGTATTTGAGAATAAAATAAAAGTTAGCAAAAGAAGTGGATGTGATAATGAATCTCACATTGGTAGGAAAACCATACGCAAGTGGGTTTATAAGCTTGAATGTATGACATGCTTACAAAATTATTCCTATGGTTTTACTCCAACTCCTACCCGTTTAAAATATTAGTATAATATTTTGAAATTTAAAGACTTAAAAATTTAAAATTTTGGTATAATATTTGAAAATTAAAAATTTTGAATTTTTTAAATTTTGGTATAATATAGGTGGCTGCTTTGGGGGTAGGAAGTTTCGATCTCTAGAAAACCCCAAAGTATACTATTTGTACATAACCGGTTATCTCTCAGATAAATGGAAAAATAACTTAAAAAGATAACGAAGTTTACAAAATGTTTAAAAAAATATCATTGTTATTTTTTAGTACAAATACCATCGAAGTATACAATTTTTACACAGAATACCAACGAAATACACATTTAATACAAAAATACCGTTGAAGTTTCCAAAATGTTCAAAAAATACGATGTTTTTTTCTGATTACTTTTTGTTAATTTCATTGTTTTAGTATTATGTAGAACTCAATTACCGGAGATCATGCATCGTCATATCAATTCACACCGGTTATTCACTCAATTTAGTGGTATACAAATTTATTGATAGATTGACACAAGACTCAAAGTAGACATGTTATACATTCATCACTCGAAGCTAAAGCTTTATTCTATCAAACATACATTACCTTTGAAGTTCGAACTCAAAAAGGATATCCGTACTCCAAACATTTCTTCCAAGAAGATCTGCTGCTAATATCATCCCACCAAGCACTCACATGTTTCCTGTCCTTTATCATATACCCTTTCCCACAAGGACCAACCAAGTAGTCTGTAAAAGGAAGGTGACTCAGGTCTGCAAGGCTAAAGAAATCTCCAGCCAAATACTTGCTTTTCGATAGTCGATCTTCATATACATCCAACACTTTCGCAAGCTTCTCCTCGCTTTCTTTGATCACTTTCTCATCTTTGGTTATCCCAAACTTCGGGCTGAACATAATTTGGTGCACCAGATTGTTAACCGCTGGGTGGAAGTTATGGGCCTCGACTTCTAGCCATTGTTGTACCAGACCTTGTTCTTCGATTGTCTTTCCCAGTAAATCGGTTCCTTGTGTCTTGTACTTTTCGGCATAGTATCGGATGATAGCTCGTGATTCTGCTCAGTAAGAAACACAACCAAAATAATATCAAAACATCAAATAATTCTCGTTTTCCCCCAATTTGATGAACAACTGTGAGTTGTAGATTGATGAATAGTATGAACAATTCTCCCCCAAAAGTTTTGCTGTTATTGGGTTTGTTTGTATTTACCGAAGAGAGTGTAATCTCCATCTTGAATTACTGGAAGAGATCCAAACGGCTGTAGTTCATCGTATAAAATTCAGTAAATAACTCAAAATCGAATCACAAATGAATTAGATGGTTGATACCTGTAACTTCAGGAACTCAGGAGTATGATTTTCTCCCGTGAATAGATCGACATGAACTGTTTCGAAGTCGATTTGTTTTTCGATAAGGCAAACCATGACTCGTTTCGGCGATGCGTAAAGGGGTCCGTACACCTTCACCGCCATCTTTTACTTTTCGTCCACACAGACAGAACTCAGAAGGTGAGTGAATGAGTGTATCAAAAATCAAGTGATGATATTTTTCTTTTATTTTAGATATTCGTTATCTCAAAACATTCATTCATTTATTTTATTTTTATATTATTATCATTAAAAAAAAGTCTACCAAGGTTATAAAAGTCGTCTTTTAGTAAATTGGCCGAGTTTTGAACATTTGGACTAACTTTCTTCATTGAAATGGTCGGTGTTACCATAAAGTCATATTCCTCCAGATTATTAAAAAAAAAAAAAAAAAAAAAAAACACTGCCAGCATACTTCGAGAAGCTTGTCTTTGAGGATTTGTTTTTCTGACAAAAGCAAACTGATAAAATTTGCCGTGACATGTATATCATTCACGAGATATTAATATTCTGTTATAAATTTGCTAGTAAATGAACCTGACCATATACTACTAGACTGTATTTGGTATTCGTGAAGAGTTAATTTTTTTTTTTGGGAAACTGCGGATTTTACAAAAACCACTATCTAGAAAGTGACTAGACAGGGCAAAAAACAAAACCATAATAAACCATCCAATTATGATTCCCAAAATGTCATCTATATTTCACCCAATTAAACACTAAATTCAGAACATCATCCACCACCTTTGCCGAGAAAGTACACACCTTGTTGTAAAACTTATCATTCCATGCTTTCCAAGTACACCAAATTAACCCGTAAATAATATTTTCATGTTTCAAATGCAACTGTTGTAAATTTTAAAATAAAGGACCTTGATATCTCCTCGTAGCTTGCAATTGTTATCCGTGAACAAGGATATAAACTCTTTTTGAGAGAAGTGGGATATAATAAATAGGTTATAGCTTTTTAAAATGGTATATACATTTTAAAACAACTGGAAAATCTATAAACAGGGTATATATGGATGTTCTGATTTGAGTGATTTCAATTTACATATCTCTTCCTCTTGTGATTCAACAACTTCAATATGATCTTAGTTAATTTTCTGCTCTTAGAGTTGAGTCGTCTATTAGGCATGTATAATGTTATTTCCACCATCTCAACCCTAATCCGAAGCGGATTATAATAAAGTGCAACATCCTAATTTTCAATGCTAAAAAATTCATTTTTAATTAGGTAACATGTGAAATCATTCATCAAACATTGCTAGTATTTCATTAATTCATAAAAACCATTCCGTCGTGTCTCAAAGTCATATCATCAGATAATAATAATAATCAGAGTACAATCCCAGAAAACTCAATGTGGAAATCATGCGTGAGTGTGATGTGCCGCTACCGTGTCGGCTCCTTCCCCTTCACTGAAAAGGTACCTGAAACAAAACTGAAAACTGTAAGCACAAAGCTTAGTGAGTTCCTCCATCATACCACACACCATACAATAACATACTGTCAGACAATTCTGGGGTGGCTGACTACCCAGGCCAAGCCAGTCTGGGGTGCTTGACTTACCCAGGTCAAGCCATTCTGGGGTGCTAGACTTACCCGTCGGTCTATTTCACCCGACTACCGGGGACTATTGTAACGCCCGTGTTTCTACGATAGACATTAATGATGATGTAATATTCTAGGTCAACCTTTGTAACTCGTTTTGAAGAAATAAAGAGGAATTATGTGATTATTATGTGA